CATATTACAATAATTTATGATAAGCATTAAAAGCGATTTGAGCGGGAAAAAAAATTTTGTTCCAGCTGCTTCAGTTTAACTAGTACGCCACCCGCGCGTTGCGCGGCCTGATATTAAAACATGACGTGAAATGAATTATTATTTAAATAAATAAATAATATTAAGAAAAAATGTATAGAGATAATAAAAAGTAAAATGAAAATTTTATTCATTATATTTTAAACTGTTTTCCTAAATATAACATTATTAGTGGATGAACTGTATTCATTATTATCGTTATCATCATAAAATAATAATCATCAGACAATAGAGGTCCATGACTATAAAAACAATAACATATAATGGATATGATTATAAAATACAATATGTTTTGTAATAAATAGTTTCAAATTAAATAAATTCAACTTAAAGAAACATTTGTGATATTCAATGTATTTGTCACATTGATAACACTCCTTGAAATTTTTGCTTAAAATATTTTGATAATGACATAATTTTTTTCATTAATAACTAAAGATATTATAAATACTATATATAATAATTGAAATAAACATGTACAAAATATGAGTCAATTAAAATTAAAAATATAAATTAAATATTTAAGAAAAAATACAAAAATGACTCAATTTTGAACCGCGCATGCGTTTACCTTAAAATTAGGTCCACACATCTTTCACTTTTTATAATTTGCTAAATAAATATTAACTTCGTTTATTTACAAAATAAGTCCGATGGTGCTCAGAATGACGTGCAAGATCGATCACCTTATGTAAAGTTACAAATATGCACAATAATCGTTAATGCTCATGTCAATAACGAATTACTTATTTTTTTCCACATAACTCACGTGGAATGTAAGTTAATATAATTTCAACAAATGATGAGAAAATGACATTTAAATTATATTATATAAATTATAAAATAGTACAATTTATTTTGATAACACTAACAACTATAAAATATGATAAGAAAAAGTAGTTGATACATTATAGTAAGTCGTATTAAACTTTATCTATTGCAAAAATTCAGTAGCGATAATATATTCTTGTAATTATCTTAAGAGAAAAACATGTGTCATAATAACAAACAATTAGCAATAGTTAACGCATTATGCTAATTTTATTAATCAGAATTTATAGTTGCATAATTGTGGATCAATAAAGAGATTAACTGTAGGAAGTCACTTTAGTAAACTTTAGATGACCTCAAATTTAAGTTCAAATGAAACAAATGATATCAACTAAAAAAATAAACAAACTATGTATTTTGGGCTCAAATTATTCAATGATTTAGGACCAAAACTATTACAAAAGACCACATATACACCAAACATTATATTAAATAATTGAATGATAAATATATATTGTCCTACTCTGTCTATATAGTCAATATCGTCCATCACTCTTTGTCTCCCTTATGGTTGAGACACCCTCACTCTTATAGTTATTACTATTATTTTTATTTCCCAATATCATTTCGCAGTATTAGTCCATTTCTTACTCGCAAATAAAACCAAATTCGATGTCATGTTCAAGCACTAAATCATTTAACTTTTACTTTATATACAAATTGTGACAATAAACGTCCATCTAAAAGTAGAAAAATAAAAATATAATTGTCTATATATATCAAATTAGTTTTTTTTATACACTTTCAAATTTTATTTTTTCTTTATATATATAAATCATATTAAGGTAACGATCAAGATGGGTCACCCTCAATGTTCAGATCAATAACCAACACTTATTTTGCGCTAAATTTATGAGAACCATATTTAGCTTTTTTTGATTAGAAATAAACATTGATATAATTCTTGCAAAGCAATAAGAATAAAATACATAAATTATAATATGTAACACTAAAACAATAAAATGTAAAGCTAACACTTGTGATGAATGATTAAAAAAAAAATAAAAAAATAGTTGTTGTATTTGTACTATTTCGTGCGAAATTTTATTTGTCGTAATGTTTTGACAAAGACAATATCTTCCCATTATTCTTATGAAAACAATATAGATATACGAATAAAAAAAACAATAAATTAACTTGTTATGTTTTTTATTCAAAAATTATAATTTTATAATTGTGGACCAATAAAAAAATCTAAAATGATGACAAAAAGTTTATGCACATCGTATAGAATGCCTCTTCATTATTTTGAAAAAAAGAATAACTTATACCAACCAAAAAAAATTAATTTTTTTTTTTTTTAGTTAAACAATTCAGACCAAAATTAATATAAATTTTCTCTTCAGTTTGACAATTATGAGTTGCACTCTCTGATGTCCTCTAACTATTTCAATTTTGTTGTCATTTCTATTTTTTTAATAATAGTTTGAAATATCTATGTAT